TATCCACTTTGTTAGAGTGAAAAGCAGCCCTGGTGACCAGGCGCCCAATACGGCCAAATCCGTTTACTCCGACCTTCACCATCGTGTCTCAGGGATGCGGCTGAGGCTGCACAAGAAGAGAGGGCAATCTGGATCGACGAGGAGCAGAGAGCCGAAATAGTATTTTTAGGAGGGATGCTTTTATTTTTTTTAATATTTAGTTCTGTTCCTCAGACTTCCTTTAAAATTAAATAAGAAAAAAATTTGTCTATGCTTATTTATATGCGTGATATTTGTTCATTGTTATAACTCAACCAAGTAAGGAAGATGAAGAATAAATACTTGGGTATCAGTGGTTCTCTAACCTTTCCCCAGGAGTGGGGTTTTATAATCCTGTCTCTTCTGGTAATGTGGTAGCCATGGCATCAGAACACATGGATTCCTCACCCCTTTCTAACAGGAAGAAGGTTCTGTTAGATGCACTGACTCTTTTATCCCCCTCCCAACTACAGCTGGCGCGTTACAGGAAAGTTTGCATCTTCTCTTCACTAGAAAGATGATGTACAATGTATTACCAGTTGATGAAAATTATCTGTGATTTCCATTGACCAGAGGTAAATGTGCTTTAATTCCAAGTTGAAGTTAAAGTTTTTCAAAACATGTTTTTCTCCAGATATGAATACCATTGGGCGGATGGCACTAATATTAAAAAGCCAATCAAATGTTCTGCACCAAAGTATATTGACTATTTGATGACTTGGGTTCAGGACCAGCTGGATGATGAAACGCTTTTTCCTTCTAAGATTGGTAAGTTAATATTATACAGGGGATTTTTTTTATTACAAATATGTGATTTTAACACTTTTTTTAAAAAGTTAATAGGTAGGGGCTGCCATCCCCCCTTCAAAATCTGTGTATTCCCTCACTCTGTGTGTGACTGCCTGTTTCTTCAGCAACACCAAATACTAGTAAAAATATTTTTACTTTATGGATGAGATCAAGCACTTTCGTTACGTGGTTTTTTCCCTCTTTATAGTTTTTATCTTTTGTGTGTTTTCTGTTTCTTCTTTATCCATTACTTTGAATGTTTTTATATATTTTCCTAATACTGTTTTATGTCTGTTTGTTCATGGGGTAGTTTTTCTGTATGTAATTTTTCCCTATTTCTTTTGTTAATATTTCTTTTTTGACTTCTGGTCTTTAATACAGTGATTATTGCTGTATATTGTTGAGTTGGAAACGACCCATAGCTGACCCTCTTGTGGGTTTCCAGAGACAGTTAATCACATGGGAGGAGATTGCCCATCCTTCTCCTGAGGAGCAGCTGGTGGATTTGAACCTTGTGCCTTTGGGATCTAGCACAGTTCCTTACCAGTAGACCCAATTTGAAAGGCTTTTTATAGGGCAGGATTATAAAAATAGACATCCATATTTTAATTTCGTACCGGAACGCATAAATATTGACATATTAGGCATTGGAGAGATGAGATGGACTGGCATGGGGCATTTTGAGTCTGATGACCATATGATATATTACTCCGGAGATGAAAAGACAAGGAAAGATGGGGTTGCCTTTATAGTAAAAAAAGTAATTTCTAGATCCATCTTGAAGTACAACA